TCATTTCTAGGTTATTTATTGTTAAAACATCCAATGCTATTATGCTTCCCACTTAACTTCCTCTCTGTCAATTTCTAGATATTTCCAACAGAGAGGATGATATTTATCAGGGGTGAAATTTGGCAACAAATGACAGTGCAATTGAATGAAATGTAGGTTCACCATCAGCCCACCTGCAACTCCGTGTATTCTACTCTTATAAAGTATTTATTCCAAACACAAATTTAAGACTTCTGGTAAACCACCAAGGGGGGGGGTGATAGTAAAAGACCTCTCCTTGACTGTGACATATAAACTGAATGATGCAGTTTTCAGACAAGATTGAACAGAGCCATGGGTGTTCTGTAGAATCAGCATGGGGTAGCAGACAAGAGAATATTCGAGAATATAATAATCACCTCTTTCCAACAGGAGTGACCGAAATTTTTTCTTCTTCCATGTAAAATTACATTGGAATAGATAGTCCTACTAAAGCAGGAATGATAGCAGTGGTGTCAAATCAGACTCAAACCAACTTTAGAAATTCACTAATTAGTAAATCACATGCCATTGACAAGGCAAGGACTAAAAGAGAGAGAGAGAAAAAAAACTGTTTCCCGAGAGTTTGATCTGAAGTTGTGAGAGAGGACACATAAATATGCAAATCACTATGCTTAACTGATGGAAAAGGTCAGTGTAATAGGTGATGCTAAATAAAGTACCAAAGTGAATCAAAGGACACATGGGTGTGAGACCAAGGAAGTTTTTGCAGAATAATATGACTGTAGTTATTCTGTGATGGAGTTTTGAAAGCTCAGTGGAATACTGAGAGGAAAACAGGGAGACAGTACATCTGCTGAGTAATTCAGAAACATTTTGTGATGTACATATATCCTATGTGATGAGCCAAAAGAACAAAACAAAGAACCTGAGGTGTTAAAACATATAGCATTACAACAATATCAGTAAATAATCCAGATTTGTCTAAACATAAAAACCTCACATTTTTAAACAAATGTTAGAGCCAGAGATTTAGCTCAGTGGTTCCACCGCCCGCCTCTCAAGCACAAGGTCCTGAGTTTGATCCCCGGTACCAATAATAATAATAATAATAAACAAATGTTAATATCATCTTAGTCTATGCTATACACATTAGTATAGTGAAATAATGAGGGTAACCCTGATAAGCATTATATTTCATTTTAGAGAATGACATATCAATTTGAAGACTTTTTACTTATTCTACAAGGCAACAAAAAGTAAAACATTTTAGTGGAAAAGCATTATGTTTAGAAGTAGAAAACAGAAATATTAATCTAGTTTGGGGTTTGTGGGGCTGGTTCCAAGAAGAAGCCACAATAATATTATGACATTTTTAAGAGAATCAACTATGGCTCTAACAAGATGAAGAAAATAGAAGACTTGAGAATGTCCGCTGGCCCTGAGTCTCTGGTGGGAATGAGGCAGACGGAAGAGCCAGAGACCAGGAACTTGAAACTATATCAGTACGTAAATGATGGGAAAGTCCACAAGAAGAGAGGTTGGGATAAATTAAGGTTTTTTTCCCAAATTCATATGAATTTTGCTTTCTTGTTCTTTGTTGACTTTGTATTAGAAATCTTCAAATATGTTAAGTTACTTAAACAAATCATAGAAATGAGTACATTTGAGAGCCTCTGCTATACTCTATAACATATCAGAACAAAGTAAATTACACTGTCCAGGAATAACAAGTTGTAAGTCATTTGTTTCCTGTAACACTTAAATCTGTAAAGCACAGTGGAAGAGTAAAAATGAAATCAACCCAGTTCTTTACAAAGCCAACCCTAAACAATATATGAGTAATGCTTCCTTTTAACATTGGTCTACTTTCTTCAAGAATTATACTTTACATCTCAGTTGTCATACAAAGAAGCATGTTTTCAAAGATTGGCCTCTAGGACATGGTGCCTGGGAGGTGGTGGAAACTTTACTAGGTGGCACCTAGTAGAAGGAAGTTAGGTCACTGAGGTTATGTGCTTGCAGGGGATATCGCTCTCTCCTCTCTCTCCCCCTTCTCTTTCCCAATCCTTCCTGGCCCCGTCATGAGATAGACCTCTTCTACCATGTGCTTCTGCCATTATTCATTTGCCACCGCATGACCAAAACAACACAACCAAGCCACCATAGGCTGAAACCTCTGAAACCATGAGCCAATATAAATATTTCTCCTTCTTAAGCGATTGTCTCGGGTATTTTGTCACAGCGATGGAAAGCCAATGAACACATAGTTCTTCTGAATCTACCACTGGTTACCATCTCTTCATGTCTTACTCTCAACAAATGGTCAACTAATTACTGATTAAATAGCTTTAGAAATCTACTTCTGGATAGAAAACCAAGCAATAGAGGGATGTCTGTGGAAGGGGAAGAGAAGAGGAAGCAAAAAGAATTAAATATGTTATTTACATGTACCCACTCTCCATAAAGAATACAATCATTACGTACTACAGACATGTACTAATAAAATACAAAAAAGAATAAAATAAAATAAAATTTTAATTAAGTATTCCTGCAACTGC